ACTCCACTCATGCTATGACGTAACTGGCTTAACAGGTGACCACAAATTTTGATTCAAAGCTTTCGTGACTGCAGGGATTCATATTCTTGGTTCTTTCGGTAAAGTCACGTAGAAGGGAAACAATAAAATAATAAAAATATAAAACAATAAAAATTCTCACGACGTTTCCACTGCAACGCAAATTTAGAAAAAATTGGCGGGTTTTTTTCTTCCAAATTTTTCTTGCTGTGGTTTTCACACCTGATGATGATTGCTTGTGTTGCAGTCGAAACGTCGTGAGAATTTTAATGTTTTATATTTTTATTATTATATTTTTTCCCTTCTACGTGACTTTACCGAAAGAACCAAGAATATAGGTGACCACAAGTAACCAATTGCCTCTCAAGTTCATTAAGAGAACGCATTACACAGCCGGGGCCTTAGCGGTCGTGAGAAGTTTGAACTGAGCTCATTTACCACAGTAGTGCATGCACCAGCTCAAAGGTATCTCACCTTATGCAGCTCACACTCTAGATTGGTGACAAAGGGCACGAATTTTGACAGTGGCCTCCACTCTATTAACGCTATCGTAGCGCAAGCCTCGTCACGCCTGCTCGATCCAACTGTAGCTCTCTCTGGCTCCCTTCCGTTTGAATTCCCACACTTGAGATGGCATGTGTGAGTCCGCGGTTCCAGGCGTGATGGCTCGAAGGGTGGCTTGTCGGGGTCTTTCTCAGGTCAAGTATCTGGGTGCCAAGCCCAAACCCCCGGGATCATTCTCAACTCGAAGACAGGCGGGGAAAGTCTGAAAAAATAAAACTCGAATTCCTCCTTTAAGGCGACAGGGCAGATTAAGAGGTCAATGCTTGTGTCATAGTACTGAGCAGGCACCACCAAACATCCTGGGTTCATATCAGGGGTTAAATAATATAATGATAATTATAATATTATCATTTATCGATACTTCATAACTCACTACAAAGATTGTACATTGGTCAGTGAAAAATTGCGGACTGTATGCTTCTGTTAGTCAGTTTGAAATATATATAAAATCATGCTAAGAATGTATACATATATAAAAAATACAAATCACATTTAATAATGATGATCATTAACAATTGAATGATAAATATTATTACGTGGTCGAAATAAAGCGAGCCGACACTCTGAGCCATTATTGATTGCCCAAAGGTCAATGTTTTAACATAAGTTTGCACTCCCCCCCCCACCCCCCTACTAATTTGGCAGATCCCAGCCGTTGAAACTAAACAAATTTAGATCGATTACTTTCCATAAAACATTCTTTACAGGGCATGTAGGGGTGCAACCACCCGGCGTTGGATAAGGGGCATCGTTGCGTAACTCCGAGCTAGTCGCGTGGCATCACATTCTGTGGGCCTACTGGCTGTCAGCGTGCGATTCTTTGATCACTGCGAGGGTTTTGAATCGAGACTTCTTAGTCTCATGGCACGACAATGACAGGAGGATTGAAATGTAATTGGGAATATAAAAATGCGTAGAAAAATTCAAGCTATGATCTCGATGCCATAAAAAATGGCTTAAAGACTATGCATCTTGGGTGTTATGTGTATGGCACTGGAAGCAAAGCCCAAACCGATGCTCAGTGGGTGAGCCAAGCTTGGGCAAACGTCAAACTAAGAGTGTCCATGTGCAGTCTACGATTTAAATTGTAATGGCTCGCAAGGACAGCACACGGACCATTTACATTCCTAATAATTTGACGCGCTGGAGGGAGCGCACGCCCTAGTTTGCACCAAAAAAAATCCACCCTCCAACAGTGAATAATAATAATTATTATTATTATATTATTCATAGTCTTTATCTACAAAGGCCACCACTAAGTACAGGGTCATTAGAAATTAGACAGAGCCTCTTTTCCCTTCCACCTTGACTCGGCGACATCGCAGTGGCTTGCGAGAATGCGTCAGCTTAGCGTGCAGCTCCCTTGTTAAAAGTGGAGACCGTGCAGATCACTAAAAATAGCTTCCCCGGCCCAGTCCCCGCTGCCGCCTTTGCATGGCAAGACTGCCGTGGTGAATCTGGGTCGAACACACTCGCCCGGTTTGCCTGAACAAGGTGTCTGGTTCTAAGTGGTCATGGTATTGCGGCATGAGGAGTACCTCTAGGGGGGTGCCGCATTGTGATGTTTGGTGAATTTGCACAGAAATAATTCGGGAGCAAAATAAGTAGTACAATTTAGTTGCACTCTGCTTGTGTGCGATGAACTCAATGTGGGTGGAGTCGGAGGTTGAATGATGGACAGGTGATAGGGATGAGGGAGTTAGGAATTGAGTCACATGTGAGCAGTGGAGCCAATTAAGACAGTTGGTTAAGACAGTGGTGTCAGCCAGGATGGCGGTGTCAGTGAGGGCGGCGGGGTCAGCCAGGGCGGCGGGGTCAGTCAGGGCGGCGGGGTCAGTCAGGACGGCGAGGTCAGTCAGGACGGCGGGGTCAGCCAGGACGGCGGGGTGAGTTGAGGCAGTGCAGGCAAGTGGAAGGAGGGAGGGAGGCTGAGGAAGCAAAGTGCACAGAGCAGTGAGCAAATAGTGTTATATACACATGAGGACGTATGCACAAACTATTAATGGCATTATATTGTTTGGAACATATCGTGACAGTTTTTGGATATTTTAAATATTTGTTTTACTGACACGCACATATCATTAACAAATATTACAGTTAGCAGTTCGAATCCAGCCGTTACATATGATACGTGACTTGGTGTCTCAAATCGTTTGTGGACGACTCTTGACTTTCACATCCGGCAAGCCCTCGGCAGTATTTTCCTCATGGGTGGGGGGGGGGGGGGGACCCTTTTGACGTGACTCAAAAGAGGTTTAATTCAACCCACAGTTTACCTCGCGCAAGCAAAGTCCACCGGAAAACAACGGTGCGGAAGTCCTCATTGGTTCACATCAGTAAAGCGAAACGCTCCGATGAGAAACACTGCCCCCGAGTGTTGTATTTATTGCTCGCAATTGGCTGAGACAGCACATGACAATTTCGTCCTAATTGGATGTTTATGCATGTACGTGTGGCAGTAAAGCAGAGCACGAAGATAAAATCCAATGTCAGCAGCCTACTTGCCGTGCACCACATTCCGTCTTGACGATCACCGCTCTGCCGCCCCTCCGCCCCATCCCCCTTTCTCGGGCCGCGTGTCTCATTTGCATAACGTCGTTTCGACCGATCCACCAATCGCGTCGGACGTAAGTACTAATGATAACGGACGCTGACGTGGTCGACTCCAGATTGGCAAGAAAAGGTTTAACCCACGCCATCTCTTGTCCCCCGATGGCGATGCACAGGCTCCGTTTTCCACCCTCCCACAGATTTATGTTTCACCCATGTATCAGCTCAGAAAGAGCACAGCGGTAATGGAGACACTTTTTATTTTATTTCAGCAGATGAAGAAAGTTCCCCGCGTGTCAAATAAGAGGCTTCTTTGGTTCTTTCGGTAAAGTCACGTAGAATGAGAATAAAATACTAAGATAATAAAATAAAATAACACAAGTAAAATTCTCACGACGTTTCGGCCACAACACAAGCGGCCTTCCACAGGTGAAAGGAACAAACCTGTCGAGACGACAGAGCTTCAATGAACGTTGTTTAGATTCGTAGCGTCTTTTAAGCTGGTTTCGAGAAGTGAGGCACCTTGACAAAGGGGTTTACATATCACACAGGAGAATTTAGCTAAATTCTAGCTAAATTCTCCTGTTTGATTTGTACTAGGTGCCTCTGTGGATGTGTAGGTTTTGACTTTAACATAGCCATTTCTGTGACCAGTCACAAGCTAATCCCTCAGCTATTTCAATGCTAAATTCTCCTGTGTGATATGTAAACCCCTTTGTCAAGGTGCCTCACTTCTCTAAACCAGCTTAAAAGACGCTACGAATCTTAACTACGTTCATTGAAGCTCTGTCATCCCGATAGGTGTGTTCCTTTCACCTGAAGAAGGCCACTTGTGTTGTGGCTGAAACGTCGTGAGAATTTTATTGTGTTATTTCATTTTTTACTTTATTATTTTATTCTCATTCTACGTGACTTTAAAGAAAAGGACCAAAGAAGATGAATCCTTGCAGTCACGAAAGCTTTAAATCGAAAAATAAGAGGCTATCCACGGAGGTCAGCGCGGACGTTAAGGCTTGTGTTTCAGCAAAAAAAAAAAACGGGCCTGGAGCGATTTTGGTGAGAAAAAATAGTTTTGGCAAAAAAAAGTGCTTTTGTGTAAAGCTATTACTCTGCGCAAAATGGAATACGTTAAGGCGGCTGCTGTTTGATAGACAACTTTATGAACCGGGTCAAAAACTATATAAATTTTTCACAAAATCACAAAAAAGGTTAGAGGCGATGTCGTTTGTAAAATGATGGGGTTATTTTACGACAAGTGTATATATATCCACATTCGCTCTCCTTTGTTGTTGCTAAAACAAAGCCTATTTAGCAAGCGTGTAGTCACATAGGCCCGCTGCTGGCTGGATGAGCCACATCACACAAATATAATCTCTGTGTGATCCACCTACCCGGCCTCCTAATCACTGGACCACGGCCATGCATCACAGCCGCCACTGCCACCACGACCACCAAAGACAAAAATCCCCCCGTATAGCCTTAACAGACTGTTGGGGCAAGTGCTGTTAGCGAGCACCTACGAAGGCCGGCACGGCAACACGAGGGGCTGGGTGGCCAACGCCACGTCTGGCCGCCTTTTGTCCCCCTAGTGGTGATGTTTACACACCGTACCAGGTATAGTACTCATTTAGGGGCTGAGTTGACCTAGTGCAGGCCAAGGACCGGTTCAAATAATAGTCACCGGTGTTAACCGTGAAGCGGGAATCAAACTCCACGTCCCCCGGGGTTCGTAGCGCAGCGCGCTAGCCGCTGCGCTACCACCGCCCCCACCACCACCGCCTCCACCGCCTCCGCCTCCACCACCGCCTCCACCACCGCCTCCACCACCACGAGGTGCAGGCCTCAAACCACGGCGGCGATGGGCTCACCTCCGCCGAGTCCGCGTGCGCCGCGTACACCAGCACGCGCGCCGGGTTGTCCCGCGGTCCCCCTAGCAGCGCCACCGCGACGTCGCGCCCGCGGCCAAGCGTGGGATCGGAACGCCCCCGGCTGGGGTCCGCGGCCTCGGCGGAGGGGTCCCACGCCGACCAGCGCACGGTGCGCATGAAGACGGACGAACGCGCCGACGCGGTCGACGACGTCGCCTGGGGACGAAAACAAAACGCGCAGGAGGGGGGGGGGGGTTGTTTCACCATACTTCACCACGCGCACTTCAGTTGGCGGTTGACGTTCAAAGCGGACCGCGACCCTCAAAGGAATGGTGCCCCCCCCCCACCCCATCCTCCGCCCCCCCCAACCCACCCCCCTTCCCCCCCCCCCCCCCGTGATCCGTGGATCAAACAAATCACTCGAGAGCCGCCGGTGTAAGGCAGCAAGAGCAGTTTACGCCAATGCTGTCGCAAGAGGTCACACCGTTTTTGGCGCAACGGTCCTTCGCCGACTGTGGGTGATTTGGGAAGGCGCGGGGGAGCGCAGACACGGGAGCACGGTGCAGTACAACGATGGATGTTGCTACGCCGCCCTCTGCCGCCCACGGCGGAGATCTGGGGGGGGCGCTGTTCTGCGCATGTTCGCCGATGACAAAATCGCCGGCAATGCGCCCGACACGGTTAGGTCTCGGAGGCCGAGCAGATTTGAACCCGGCTAGTAGTGCTTGGAGGGCTAAAACAGAAGTCGCACTGTCTGTCGAGGGGACGGCGGGGCTAAGATTCTTAAAACGGTGAACCGAGACGGGAGCTCTCCGATCACATTCTAAGTGCCATAGCATCCAGCAAAGGACTGCGTAATGGAAGGGCTGGCTTTGGCCACAAAGGCATGGTCAGTTTTAAGAGCATTTCAACAAAAGCCACGGGTGTTTGGTCATGGCTGTTAATCATCTGTAGACTTCATTATTTAAAACCTTTGAGTTTAATTTGATTGTACTCAGCCCGGGAAATGTTATAGTCTCGTCCACACCCACCCACCCAACCCAATTAAGACGTTACCTCTCAAGCAACAAACCAGTTTCACTTCTCACCGTGACCAAAGTTTGCTCCAATATTAAGACCTTACCTTGGCCCGAAGTGAAACCATTTAAGCCCCCGTGACTTTCACTTAAGGCACACATTGCACACAAAAAAAATCCACACCACACAGCGACCGTGCGCGCACACACACACACGACGAAGCATTTTTTGAAATGGAAATGTTAAACTCTTCAAATTAAATTTCAGGAAGCGTGCGTCAAATCACGCCACGTTCGCACATGGTTAAGGAAGGGCAGACGAATGGAAGATTTGCACTTCCGTAAGTACGCAGATATTAAAGTTTTTGCAGCTGTTCGTAGTATCGATTTCATCTACAGTACTGGCATCAAGGACACAACCACGCATTTCTGATTCCGAGGACAGCGATACATGATGAATAATAACAATGATTTACAGCTCCCCACCCTCTCTTCCACCCACCCCCCTCTACCCCATAGTGTTGGTTATCCTACCACTCATTCTTCCCTCCCCATTTAAGCTTTATTGTTCTCTGTCTTGCAGTCCCCAAGTGGGTGGGGCAGAGAGCCCGATTCTCCCCCTTCGTTAAGCCCTGGCGCGGAGTTCTGTTCACGCCATGTACTGCGATCGGTGCTTTGTACTGGGCTTGCGTTGCAATGAAAACACTATATAAAAATAATTTACAGCCTTTTGTCCACTGCTGATTGAAGTCTTCCCCACGTGTTTCACCATACTTCACACCGAATTGGTGCACAGTGGTTCGCACGCTACGCTATGCACCCGGCAATCTAAATCCATCAAGGAAGGCCTTCTTCGTATAGCAGTGGATTCAGTTCAGTTAATTTATTAGGTATAGCCCTGTGAGCCATGCGGCTCTTGAATTGAGTGCAACCGCAACAAACAAAAACATGAACAAGAAAACATCATAAAGTGACTACGTGCAACAGAAAAATCCAGGAAAAAACAGCAAAGCCTTCCAGAAAAAGCACCGTATATCATAGCTGTGTGAAAAAATTCCAGTGGGATGCAATTCAATAACAACCATAGGACAATGTAGATTAAAGTTATCAGTCTAACTCTGTATTACAACAAACAAATATGGCTAAACCAAAACGTTTTCGAAATCACCAAAATAAAGCTATAAAAACAATGTAACAGTGATCATAGGAACTGTGATTCAAATTTGACAATAAACGATATACATAACATGTACGACCAAACTTTGCAGCCATAGCTGGCAGCATGAGTCACTCCATAACAGCAGGAGTATCAGTAGGAGTATCAAACATTTTCAATGCACCTTTACACATCAGCACACTATAATCAAAACTCAAGATCATACTTTGCAGCGGTCATCCGGAGCGATACATTTGATTTCAGGCCACTGAATAGCAGTGGTAGCTAGGGGTGTACAACTCCTCTAGAGCAGTTTTGAGTGAAGATCTCACAGGTAGTGATCCAAGTTGCAGTTTATTGGCGATAGCATTCCAGACCCTGGGGGCATCAATAGCAAAGGCCCTTCCTCCAGTATTTGTACGGCAATAAGGAATGTGAAGCTGGTAAATGAGCGAAGACCTTAGGTCACATTTGTTCTTCGAAACAGTGAGGAGATCCAGCAGGTAGTCTGCGGATTTTGTTGTAAGTACATCGTGAATAAATAAGATCTGGTGCACAAGCCGTCGATCATTAAGAGACGTTAAGTTTGACCCAATGTAGAGATTGACAAACGGGTGAAGGTCCACATGTATATATATGAAATCAATGTACAGCCTCTTTGTCAATCCACTTCTGAATGAGTGCCTCCCTACGACATGTCAGTCAGGGTTTGATATTTGACCATACTTCACCACGCTGCTCGGCACAGGTTGACAAAAGGGGGGCCCAGGAGCGGTTCAGACATCAACTCGCCACTGACCGAACTCAGAATCAAACTCAGGACATCAGGCTCATGGCGCCTACACTCCCCCCTCCCATCAAGTCTTCGCAAATCAGCCTAAAAATAAGTGCGAAAAAAAACATTTCTACAAATATATTAACAAACACAATATAAAACCTGAAGTCACCGAACAGACTAAGGGCACACGTGATCACTCCGTGGCCTTACCTTTAACGGCTGACGTCATAAAAAAAAACAACACGATTTAATCGCACTCAAAAAATACAGCACCACGAGCAACGGCAGTCGTGGTGGCTGGCCAGTGACCACAAGTATAACCTCAAATCCTTGAGTTGATGATCCACCTACCCCCCCCCCATTATGCGGGAACCCCAAGATGCTGCGGACCTTGTGCCAGACCACTGAAATATACTTGAGCCATACAGTGCAGAAGTGGAAAGCACTTACTGGACAGCCGGCCGTTCAATAATCTGCAACTTAACAGAATCCATATTTGATTAGAACCCTGTCCATGTGCAAAGCAGGTCTGTGCGCGATTGCACTATGAATCCCATCCAAATGAGATGCAAAGTTTTATTAATGACATTATTATTGATTTGTAAAAATCAATTCAGGGCGATCCTTCTTTCAGGGTCAAATGTTTTTTTTTATTATTATGGAAATCAAACTGGGAATAAAATTATTCGTGTTCAATCGATGCGGTGTAATGTTGCACGAGGTTCCATTAGAACCTATTTCACAACGACGGATATCAATCATCAACCCCCACCCCCTTTAAAAACCTCACTTATTCACTCATCGTATATTTGTAATCGCATCACATGAGATTTCTTCGTTGTATGTTGTTCTTGTACAACTACATTAATATGAAACACTATATATTATAACTTAAAGCTTTCGTGACTGCAGGAATTCATATTATTTGGGTCTTTCGGTGAAGTCACGTAGATAGGTTGAAAATTAATACAAATAAACAAAAAAAACCACGACGTTTCGATTGCAACACAAGCGACCTTTATTCCACCTGATGACGGTCGCTTGTGTTGTGATTGAAACGTCGTGGTTTGTTTATTGTCATTAATTTTTAACCTATCTACGTGACTTTACCAAAAGATCCAGAGAATACTATATATTATGCCTTTAATAAGCGTACAATAGTTAAGTAGCAATTGCAATTCAATGAGCATGGTTGTAAATGTGTGGGGCATTGTTGGTGGCCGGGGGGAGTCATGTGAACCCATCGCATGTAAACAATATATAAACCCCTCGCCACATTCGGAACACTGTGGGTTGGTGAAAAGAGTGGGGAAAGGTGCAGCACTGATGCCAATATCTCTCACCACTGAAGTTTGCCTTGTCCGGGACTTGGTTTGTCACGTTCCAAGCATGGTGCATGAACTAGTACACCACTGCTTGCCCTCTGACACAGCTTAGAGATTCGTCCATTTATTTTCCTTATTTATCAAGGAGAGCAACACTGAGTCGTATGTTTTCTGCCAATCAATTGAGCGTTTATACACTGAGAGAAAACCCATGCAAGCTGGCACCGATAATTATCCCAGCTCTGCAGTCCTCCATATATTAATATGTTTTCATCCCAATAAATGATTGTATTTACATATGGGAGGAAACCGGAGCGCCCGGAGAAAACCCACGCATGCGAGGGGGCAACACTCGATCCCCGTAGAGCTGGAAACAGATGGCGAGTAGTCTACTCGCTGTGCTGACTTCTCCTCCTGGCGAGCCAGGCTATGGCACCTCCTCCATGCTGATGGGAAGGGAGTTTCACAATATTTGCATGATCCACCAATCCTTGCTCTTCTGCAGTGCTGAATTACAGGTCACGTGCGACATCATCGCCCACTCGCAACTTCGCATACGATCAACAAATGACTTCTAATTCATAATTAATCTGAAGAAGTTCCATTTCCCAAAACACTAGCCTGCTTTATTTCTTCAGCTGCAGTGCAGCGGTGACGTCAATGAAGGTTACATATTTTGAGCCTGTGCTGCCAAACAACTGCTGCAACAGTCCCTTAAAATGTAATTGAAGCCATAGGAATGCAATTACACGTCACCTCGAGATGCAACGGTAGTAGGCTGTGAGGGTGTTGCAGACACACAGGAATGCGGCAATGAGTCGTGCAAAAGGCGTTGCCTTTTTTTTGTTTCGCAGATGGCGGGGGCATTTCAATTGTGGTGGGCCAAGCCGGTGACCTCGGGAAGGTTCTGCGAGACCGCCCGGCTCAAACAACTGCCCACC